GTTATCAGAGCTATCTTTTCTCTTTCTTTTGGCTCATCTTTTCACTCTATTGGCCTCAATCTCTTGTGGACTTTTTGCATGGGGGCAACAAAGATACCTGTCAGTAGCTATAGGTGTAGCGCCTGTAATTTCAAGACCCTGCCTCTTCCTTTGCCCATATTAATTTCCAAATAATTGGCTTTTCTGGAATCACATATCCATTCCTATATGTCAGTTGGGGGAAGGGGCAGTTCCCAAAAGGAAAAGAGAGGTTCTGTTAACAAAAAAGAGAAAGAGATGTTAGGAAAAGACAACAGATATCCCTTACACGTGGTAAGTGAAGCTGTGAATTTTAATGAGCATGCCCAAGGAGAGTATATAAGGGAGAAGAAAGATTGAGATTGAGCCTTGAGGAATTGCAATATTAAAAGTTGAGTTTAGGACTGGCCCGTGTCTCACTCAGGTAAGTGCAGTGCTGATAACTCCAAGGCCACGGGTTCGGATCCTTTAAAAAAAAAAAAAAAAAGTTGAGTTTATAGTGTAAGTCCACAAAGGTGACTAAGAAGTGGTGGCAAGAAAGTTAAAAGAAAAAAACAAGAGAATGTGGAATCATGGTAACCAAGAGAAAGGAAGATGCTTTAAGATGAAAGGATTGGTCTTCTGTTGTTGATTGATGTTGTGAAGTCATATAAAATGAGGATTAAAAATTCTGATAGGATAAAGTGACAGAGGTCATTGATAACCTTAGCAAGAATTGCTTAATGAAGTAATAGAAATGAAAGCCTGATCACTGTACATGAGGATTTTCTCAACCTTAGCACCATTGATATTTGGACTGGATAATTTTTCACTGTTGGGGGCTCTCCTGTGCATTATGGGATGTTAGCAGCATACCTGGCCTCTGCCCATTTAGATGCCAGTAGTAGTTTTCTTTGCCCAGTTGTGACAGTCAAAAATGTCTCCAAATATTGCCCACCAAATGTCTCCTGGGAGGCAGAATTACCTCTGGTTAAGAACTACTGGGGTAGACTGAGGAAATTAAGACAAGTGTAAATAGCTATTTTGAGGTAAGGAGAGAGAGTAGTAGTTGGAGAGGAAAATCAGGGCAAGAGAAATTTTGTTTGTTTGTTTTGGCGGCTGGCCAGTGTGGAGATCTGAGCCCTTGACCTTGGTGTTACCTGCACCACACTCTAACCAAGTGAGCTAACCGGTGAGCCCTGAGAAATTTTTTTAAAGATAACATGCTGACGTTAAAGATCAAGTACCAAGGGACGGGTTGAAGACAGAAGTAGTAAGGAGAAAGCAGATAGTTGAATTCATCCAGATTTGGGTTTTATTTGGAGAGTGTGAAAGGAAAAAGAGAGAGAGAGAAAGACAGATTGAGAGAGAGGAGCATGCAACTTTGGCTTGCACAAATGTTGAAAATGGGGTTGACTTTCTATTAAAGGGTCACAGACAAATTCAAGACCTTTGCCCTTGAATGTGATCTATATATGCATGAATAAATTATTTTTTAAATATTTAAGATGTATTATAAAAGCTGGAAATTAAAATGGACAAAGGGGCTTAGGGTATGGCAAAAGGATTACAGAATGATGGAGCATGGAATCTAGATTGGGTGTGGAGGAACTTCATTAAGAAGGTTCATAGTAGGATAATTGGAGTAGAAGGAGAAGGTCCCATGAGCTAAAGAAGTCAAGACACTGGAAAGAAGGGGAATTGGTTGGCTTAGCCACATGGACAAAGGAGTCAATAAGGATAATGGCAGAAATTGGGATAGACAAGGAGGACTGTGAGCCATGTGTCAAAGTCTTCTGTGAATGAGATGGAATAACCAGGGGTTTAGTAGATGATCATTAAAAGGGGAAGAAGAGCTGAATAAGATGAACCTCAAAAAATAAGGAGAATATATGTGAGTGTGTGTGTGTGTGTATATATTTTAATCAGAGTAGAGGATTAATGATTTGGAAGAGGCAGTGAGGAGTATTCAGTGGATACCACACACCCCTTCCCTTTTGAGGAGACAGAGGCTGTGGCAGAATAAGCAGCCACCCTTAGAAGGCTCCTGAGGAAAAGTCAGGAAGGTGCCAAATGAATTCTCTGAGAAGAAATTGAGTAATACAGGAATTTAGTAGCCTTTACAGAACAAGTCAATGAATGAGTTGTATTTTAAAGGAAAAAAAAACGTTTCACATTAAGAGAAGAATTATTTCTATACTCTTATTCTTTTTTCCTCAGTTACTTCATTTTTACTACTTCACATTTTCAACAAACAAATCAAGGTCGAAACAGTTTTTTTCACATTAATATATTAACTGGATTTTTTTGTCAAATAAATAGGGAATTCCCTTTAAATAACAACCTCCTTACTCCATGGCCAAACAGCAAATGAGAGAAATTTTAATGCATCCAAGGGGGAACACTGCTAACTAGGCATAAAGCTTAAAGGGAAGAGGGCAGACCGAGGGGGATGGCAGCAGGTCATGGTTAGCACAGAAGACCAGGCCAGGCCCTAGGGGTCAGGAGATCCTGTTCGCAGCCTACCCAGCAGCCTCCAAATGGCACAATGGGATGGACATGAGTTCTCCAATTCCAGTCCGAGAAGTCCCTTCTAGAGGGAAGAGAGATGACGAAGGTAAAGAGAAACAGATTCCAGAAAACACTAGCAGAGAAGCAGAGGGGCTTCTTCCTCAGCCACAGTGGCCTCCCCCCAATGGTACTCAATCTCTGGAAAATCATGTTATAGCTCCAAAGTCAGACAGTGGCAATAGAATGACCAAAGATAGGAAAGGAAAGGGAAGGCAACTGTGACTAGGCTGGAACCTGACTGAATGAAATGTGGGCTGACAGTCTGCTGGGACAGTGACCTTCCATGGCTGGTCACAGACCAGAGTGGAGGGAATGTGAGTAGGAAGAAGAGTCTCTGGCTACCTCTTCCACCATGGTCCAGCTCCTTTCTTTTGGTAGTCACTTTACATTCAACCTCATAAGCTCCATCACATCATCCAAATGCCCTACTTAGTCTCTGAGGATCCTCTGCCAGGCCCTACTCGTAGTCTCCGCTGGAGGCTTCACCTTTGGTGTCCACTGTCCAAACTGATTGGTGTTCCTGCTGTAATGGAACTAAACAAAGCCTTCCTAGTCAACTCTTGCTTCGGTCTTCACTGTTCCCTTCATGTAGTATGCACCGAAGACAGGCTGCTTAATCTCATAGTCCTTCATCAGATAAAATGGCATCATGAAGGACTGCATAGTATCCTTGCCCTTGAAAGATGAGCTGGTAAGGGGTAAAGTAGATCGTACCTTTCTTGGTCCTTTTAAAGGCCTTTGGCACATTCTTTAAGTCACTGAATGCGAGTTCCACAAGGTCATAGGACATAAAGATGCTCTCGGTTTTGTAGACAATCACTGTGCTGTCCTCCAAGTGATTCTTGTTGAGTGCCTTAGTCTCTCCTATATATTCTTATTCTGAAGCTCTCTTGTACAGCTGCTTTTTCATATCAGGTTACTGAGCAATAATCTAATCTTGCCTTTCAGGGATTATATGGAATAAAAGAAGAAATCTTTCTCAGTATCCCTTGTATCTTGGGGCGGAATGGTATCTCAGATGTTGTAAAAGTTAACTTGAATTCTGAGGAGGAGGACCTTTTCAAGAAGAGTGCAAATACACTTTGGAATGTCCAAAAGGACCTGGTATTTTGAAGCTTTTTAATGCCACCGTTTTATAGAACAGAGGATAACAGACTGTATATTTTACATTTTGAAAGTATTTTCATCTGATGTGTAAAAAATTTTAAAAAAAATTGAAGACCTATGACATAACTCGAGTCTCTCAAGGTTACTGTAAATGGTGAAGAGATTTCTCCTCTTAATTAATCCCTTATAGCTCTATTCTAATGATACCCAGTCTCTCTAGGTGATAAGTTATACTTCTGAGATATGTTATACTTAGGCTGAAAAATATATATGGTTTCTACAGGGAATATTCTAGGAAGTAAAATTGCTCTACATCATGTATTCTTTTGGGCAAGGGAGTGAAAATTGGTATTTGGCGGGGTGGGGGGGGAGTGTGAAAAAAAATCTTAGGTATTACAAGGGTTTAGTTCTCCAAAGCTCAACCCTACCTGACAAAATTTTATTACTTAATTGTGGTGGGGGAGGGGGTGGGGAGCAGAACGATTAGGGGGGAAAATATCAAGGCTCTTGAGGGGGTGGTAATAAAAAAAGGTTGAGAAACACTGCTTTACATTTTATAAAAGAATTTTCCAGATGTGTAGTATGTATTAGGATTCAAAAATGAGTGAGAAAATAGTTAACTAGGTAGGTAAAAAGTGATGGGAGAAAAGAAGTAGAAGCCTTGCTTTATCCCAGGCTAATTTTGGATTCTACATTTCACTACTTCATAAAGTCAGTTGAGCTTTTACTTCCACTTGTAGATGGTTATCAGTTAACACTGCACTGATCAAATTCTTAGGTTTTCATTTGTTATTTCAAAATTCCTTTTGCATTGAGGGTTTTAAAATTTTTTTCTACGTCAGCTCACATTTGAGGTGGTAAAAAGTAGTTCTAAGTTCCCTTTCTCCTACAGCACTGGCAAGAAAATTCCCAAACGAGAGCCAAAAAGCCCTTATTGGACACATCCAGGTAAAGTTAGGTTATAAATAAAATTACTCGGTCTTTCCAATGGATCAGTTCTGGGCAAACAGTACCCCTTCGACAGCCCAGGCCCTACATTTCATTTGTGAAGCGTTCCACCCATAGAAGCCTCAGCCCTCTTATTAGCACGCACGTAGGAGAACGTGGCGGGGTGGGTGGGAATGCGCAGGCGCAGTGCCTCAGACTTTAACTTTTGTTAGAGACATTTGGAACTACTTACTGTTCCTAGTTTTTGGCTGGGAAACCATACATATCTTTTTGGTAGAAATGGCCAGGGCTCGGGCGCGGCCTTGCGCAGCTGCAGTAGCAGGTGCGTCGGGTGTCGGTGATCTACTTCGCGTCTTAACGAGCTTTACGGATGCTGTCTCCATGCTGTTTATCTCGAGTGCGATGAGTTGGGCTGCAGGAGTCTTGGGGACCAGCCAGAGAGTGGACGCTGCGGTAGCCATCTATCTTTTGCCC